ATATATATATATAAAAAAGGTTCCCTTTAAATTATTTCAAATTAATGACCTTTCATTGATTCATTATTACTTTGAAAGTGCATTCAATTATTTTAGGCAATAAAAATATTATTTTTATAATTGCTTTATATTTAATTTTGATTTTATAATTTTCTGCTTTGCTGTATTTTTCAAAATGTTTGGAATAAAATTATCAGATTTTGTTAATTTTTTATTTGACCAATTTTTTAAATATGTGTTTCATTGTGATAAATATATATCTCTATTTTTTTTTATTTCGCTTTTTCTATACCTCTTCTAAAAGGAACATTCTTCATGATTTTCCGTTCTACAAATAAATTTGTCTACGACAGCAACAGAGCTGTCGACTTTTATGTATGAGTGCCTCGCGTGCACTAAACTACTTATGCACATCTGTATAATGCATAATAGCCGATGCACTGGAATGGATCTCGAGGTTCTCGAGGTACGACGAGCAGCGTTATTATCGCGGAAATGGGACTAACGACCGTACATTGCAAGTTACCTTCGATATCTCCCCTTTGTCAGACGTCATAAATATTTTTACATAACCTCACTATTTTTGCGGGGATTATTCTTTTCGAACGTATCGCGATGGACATCGGCGAGACGCGCGATGATCTGCGACAGAAGAAGGAAAGAGACGGTCGCCCATTTCCGAAACTATAAATTCCGAATTAACTGTAAACACCTTGCATAATATCTGGCTCCGTGATCGAACCAGTCGACTGAGTCGACTTCGTGTTATTACCATTCTGAACTTTCGCGAGATTATTTCCGCGTTCGACGCACACGCGCCGCGAACCGGGTCCACGACCTCGCGCAACCTCTTCGCCGCGAGTGTCGATCTGTATCGAGCCGCTTTTCTTGAAACGACTTTCATTCGTCGAGACACTTCTCTCATCGTCGTCACCGCTGCCGCGGCGGCGGCGGCACACGTGCGACCTGTTTGCGGACACATGTGTGAGCGCGGTAATTGAGTGGAAGCGATGTGGCGTGGGTGGAGGAGGGAGATTGAATGATACGGTCTCCTGATCTTTATTGGAAACCGAGAGCTTTTGACGCTGTCAGAATGCTCCGTTGGTGAAGACGTCAAGCCCAGCGGTGTGTGGGTGTGTAATGGATTTTTCGTGGCTGCCATTTCCAAATTTCGCTGCTGGCATCGCATTTTTGTAACAGTTCGATTTTATTGGAAAACTTTCGATATTGTCAGAATAATCCATTGACAAGAGGGATTTTTATTGGAAATCAGAAGTTTTCGTCGCGAATAAAATAATTCACCGGCGAAGGTATTCGTATATGACGAATTTTTTCGCATTTTGTTTTCCAATTTTGCCGCCGGCATCGCATTTTCATCAATATGTAAAAATCAAAAGTTATTTTCCAAAATCGTGAGTTCCTAATTCTCGAAATCAAAAATGGATAAAAGGTTAAGCTCGTTTGTTTTTCTGCAGAATTCTTGGATTCGTCGTTTTCTCTTTATATTTCCTCACTGCAAAATTTATGGAAAATCCGAAATCCCAACCGAGTATCGCTGTGTAGGATCTTCGGGTTAACGTGTTGCTGACGTTTTGTGTCACCTCGCCGAAAGCGCGCACGAAAGGCCCATTCCATTCAAGATTTATGAGTTACAACTTTGTGACATACTCGAGACGCTACGAAGTAAACGAATGAGTTACGCGGCATGCATCTCCCGGTAGAAACGCTCGTTTTTCACGACAAAGGGTAAACGATGGGTGTGACGTGTATTTTCGTCTCGATTTCACGGAATTAGACAAACTCGCAGTGTATACACAGACGTCTAATTGGCGTTTGCCTTTGCTCGAAAGTGCTTCCTGATGTCAGCAAGCGAGCCGGAAAGTTCCCGCATCTTTCCAGAGAGCAAGTTGACGTAAAAGTTAAAAATAGATAAACAACACACAACGCGGCAGAATAACAATAAGCTAAAATTTATATATTAAACTGCATTTTGATGTCGTTTGGCGTTAAAAAGAAGCCTTTTAATGATAGAAAAAAATCGATATAACTGAATAAAAATACCGGAAAAAAATATAATCATTAAAATCAGAATTAAACCAACTTTTGTTTTTTGTTAAGAGACAACCGGAGGAAGCGTGTTTAATTTTGTAGACAGAAATATAGATTAAAAATTCGCCTGACGCAGTCGTGTTGTTATTGCGTTATTATATTCTTTTTTTCCCCTCTAGGGCATCTGTCCGGGAAATCGATTGAGGCTTCTGGTCGGCCAATACGACACGGGGGGTTGTTTGGTCGGCAGCAGGGCCGACCTAACCATTTCGGAAGATGGCATACAGAGACACGGGAAAAGGCGTAGCTGGCACGTACAACCCAACAGAGTAAGTAATCCGAAGCTATTCTCAAATCGCGCGCACTTCGAACCTCAACTCACATTTCGAAATTCCATTGTTGAAATCGCGAGCGGAGCCGACGTTGCCCGACGATTAGCACACGTTCGCGAACCAGCGTTCATTATTGTGTTTAGCGCTCGGAGCAGGTAAACAGGAATGATACGCGGAAAGTGTCAAGAGCCGCCCAATGAAATATGCGGAGCGAACGCGGATAATTGCGAGACTGATTTAATCATCGACGATGGGAACTTGAGCGTGAAAGATTCACGCGTGTACGCCGATCGTAAATACCGCGGCGGCCATAATGCACGCCCGTTTGAGTCTGTCTTTCCGCGACGAACGTGCGCGTTGTTACGCTCGTTTATGAATGTTTAAGTGAAAATTCTTTACGCCCACAAAGAGAAATCCGGATCCGAGGGGTCGCGCGAATACGCCTTGCGACCATAATTCTTCCGCGCCGCGCATTTGTATAGCGTTTTATTGGCCCGACCACGACAGCTGGCTTCTCGAATTAATATATCCGCGATCTGAAAAGGCGCGCGGGAGCAAAGAGAGGCTCCGCTCGCTATCGATCGATCGCTCGCTCGCAAATGCGACAGGGTTTCCCAAACGCGAGGTAGATTTGCGCGTTTCTCCGAGACATCTTTATACAAAGTCGAGAGGTTATCTGCTCAGTCAATGATACTTATTCACAGCAATGTTGTCGTTTTATCGATAATCTTTCTGATCCGCGCATAAAAATTCGTAAATTGAACGACGAGGATCGATTTTTCTAATAAATGTTTCGAAATAATTTTCAAATAACTGAACTCGCTTATTGAAAGGGTGATCCTGTTTAATTTAAAGTGCGTTTTTAATCCTGTTAATGGAGCTCTTAATGGACCGTTAATGAGACACTTGTTGACCCTCGAAAACTGTAAATCGTCGATTGCCACTGGAATCGGCGTTTTAGAGTCGATAGTACTTGAATTTTTTTCCCCGCCCCGCATATTTTCGTACACATACGAACACCATTTATATTTTCGATAAAATATGTCTGGTTTTTCCGGGAATGTAATGGAATTGCCTGCGCGAGCGCCAGAGGGCTAATAAAACCGCGAATATTCGCGATATTTCGGATTTTTCCATTCGAATAATTGCGTCGCGTGGTGATTTGGGAAACCCTGCTACCGCAAAATTGACAATAGTACACGGGCGTCCGTGCATTGTGCGCGTCATGGGGGGTTGGAGGGGGGGGGGGACCTTTTACGCCCCCCACGTTCGTTGAAACGGGATCTGTCAAAATCAGCTGACTGCCACTTGGTTCGTTCGGCTCTTCTGGTCACCGTCGTGTGCCGCGTATCTAGCTCTGTGGCGGTTTAACATCTGCTACCGACATCAACTGATTGTGAGTGAAATGAATACGACTGCGCGATCGATTAGGGCGTCGAGTTCGCCCGATGCTATTTATATCGAAAGAATTGTATAAAAATATAATAGTTGATCGTTGTCGATTCAATCTGCGAACAAGAGATGCTAATGACCGATCATAACGCAATATTATCACAGTTTTGCACATTTTGTAGTAATATTTGCTTTATTTTCTGAAACAATTCTGAAAAGACGGGCAAGTCTTTCAAATTTATTTTGTAATCACAACAACCGGCTACAACAAAAAGTTATTATTTTTAAATCAGTTAAATAATTATTTATTTAGATTGAGTTATTCTTTATCTCTGCGAAACTTGAATTTTCTTCAATTCAAATCTCTTTCTGGCTTATTCTTTTCATATGATTTGGAATGAATTTATATTTGAAACTTTAATTTTGTTTTAACTAATTTGTCTGAGAATTTATCGAATTCATATTATTCAGTTGAACTTTGCAGCGCGCTTCTCCTTCGAAACTCAAATCTAGTCTTTCAAGAGCAATGTATTTCGGGGCACCAGAACGCGTCGGAAACGGTTCGCTTCTTGTCGGTGTTGGCAGTTTCTCGAGCTCTTCTTGTTTCCCGACTGGTCTACGAGGACTTTTTACCCCGCGTGATCTTCGCAAGCAAGCATCCGGACGCGTCGCCGCCGCCGTCGTCGTCGTCGTCGTCGTCATTATTATCATCGTTGCAGCGCACGCATGTGCGCGCGTTCCTGCGATAGAAATACGACGTTGTCGTCGTGGTCGTCGTCGCCGTCGCAGGGTCAACGTAACGCGAACGAGCTTCGCCGCTATGTGACGCGGGTGACTGCACTGGGAAACGAGCGCTCGCAGGTGTCGCGAGAATCAAGTTTCATTGTCTACAGTCCGGTCCAGTATATATAGATTCCAATATTTCTCCGCCTTCTCTCTTTCTCTTTATTTTTTCTTCTTTTTTTTTACAAAGACAAAGTGTCGCACGACTCTGTGCGAAATTAAGCAGCAAAGTTCAAAAATTAATACCCGACTCTTGAACTTTGCGCGAGAAAGTTATCGTCATCTCGCTTCGCATTAATCACCAAGTCCAATCGATAAATCATTATCGAGCGAGCGCGTCGATAATCTCGCGGAGAAACGTTCGCCGCAATTTACAATTTCTCGCGAGCGCAAATTTTTCCGCCGCTCGGAGCGGAGCGATCGATGCGCAATAGAGCTCTCCGGGAGTGTCTCGCGAGTCTTACGCCGGGTATTACCATCCTGCAGACCGAGAGCGACCACCCCCGCCGTATCCGAGTGCATCGGTGGCATACCGTCGCGTCGCATCCCGCGGCACGATTTATGAGGAGGCCGCTCGCTCCTGCGGGCGCAAGGGGATGCTCCGCAAGGAGCCTACCTTTTCTGGCGCGAAGATCCACGGGATATCCTTATATGTACGCCGACTCCGGGCCGGTGTCCACTCGCCGACGTTGCTATCTTCCGCACTCCCTCCCGCCCGCGCCCCCTCCGTTCGCTTCGCGACGTGCTCAGCGAGAACGCACCCGCGCGCGGGCGCGCACACACACACGGAGCCCGGGCTGCCGGAGTCATCTCGATGGAATGTTTAGGGCGGTTGGGGCGCAAAAAAGGGCGGACGCGTTTCATCATGCCCGCCTGTGCGTAGTCCTTTTCCTTGCTCGCACTTCTCTTCCTTCTTTCGCCCCCGACTGCTCCCGACTTCCGAGAATAACTCATAGTGCGCGTTTTTACGCTTAGATCTGACCGAAACTGACCGATTTTCCTCTCGCTTGCGGCCGCGTGAAACAGTTGGCAACGAGAATCAGTGATAAAAAATCAGTAGTAGGAAAAATAAATATAAATCATGCGTATTGTGAAACTGATCCTGCTGCCATTTTTGATTGCTATGAATTCTTATATTTGTATATTCTATATTTGTATGATAAATTCTTAAAATACTGCATGGAGAATTTTATTTAAAAAGTTAACTAGACGATTCAGTAGTTCTGAATTTCTAGAAAAGTGTATCTCAAAGATTATAATTCGAATTTTGCAAAACAAGTTATTTTTTATTTCTATGCAACATTTTTACGCAACGAAAAGATGAATATTAATAGTCGACTTTCTCGTGCGTGATGACGTTTAATTGATAAAAACATCGTGTTGTTAATTTTTATCCAAAAGTGATATATGTGCATGTCGTGATATTTGTACTCGCTAAAATATGCTCCGAGTATTTAAACTCGCGAAGCACAAAAGGAGGGACACAAGCGTGCACGACACAGGCGAAAGAGCTTCGTGCACCGGTGATGTTAACTAGAATAACCAGATCGTGGCACGTTCGCCTCCCTCGATCTGTAACAGGCAGTAACGTGCACAGTATGAGTCTGTGTTTTCACAATGCGCGATCTGAGCACGACAAGTGCAACTCGGTCGCGTTTCCGCACGGACGATAAATTCAGAAGTGGAAAACACCGCGAATCAACAGAAGCGGAAACTCGCTACTTTTTTCATGATTTATAAAATAAACGAGAAATCAAATGTCCTGCGATGTAATGTACATCAACGATGAAATTAATTTACAGCGGCTCATATAATTTATTTAAATGCACGAATATGTCGCGCTATTAATAACAGATCAGCATTAAAACATTTCTGAACAAAATTGCAAAAGATGGCGGATTCAATTTGTGAAACAGATTGAATATTATTAATAATAACTTCGCGAATTGGCGAGACTAATTTTGCGAATATCTTATCTTATTATTAAAATTCAAGGACCGACGCCTCATTTTTGTATTCTGCATGAAATCGCAATAGAGATGCGATCTTCGTTCTACGGCAAATATTTACCCCGAGGATGATCCTTTCATATTCACTGCAAAGGCTTTAAAAATGCAAAAAGTAATACGATAATGATAGTCTGCGAAGGAGAAGGTTCAAAGTGGGATTGCCGAGGGCGCGAATGCTTCTTGAGACCGCCATTGGCGACAACGAGTAGGCAAACCGCACCGCCGCTGCGCCGGCTGAAAATGGCGTGGAAAAAGGAGGAAAAGGATGGCAGGAGGAAACGGCCAGGATAGTGGAACGGTAGAAAGGAGACCGGAGAAGACAGACTCGGCTGAGACAGAGGAGTTTGTCTCTGAACGTAGGCCGAGCTGTCTTTAACGGTTGGTATCAATGAACTGTGAAACGCGTAGGATTATCCGCACTCGTTTTTGCCAACAAATTCTCAAACACGACGAACCGGTTCGGCGTTATTTTTACGGCACTCGCTGCGAATTAAAACTGTTCCGAAACTCCGGTTACGCAGAATATTTATTACATTTGTAAATCACCTAACGCCGATTAATTAACTCGATTATTTTTCACTGCTTTTAAAGGGATTGTGTAAATTGTTTTATTTTAGAGAATAATGGTTGAATTATATTATTTTTTCAAGCTGCTTATATAAGAAATGATGAAAAATTACGGAATCCTGTTTCATCTCGAAGGAAAGTGTGAGAGAAAATTCTCGGGAGGAAACACCGCGAGCACCGTAGTTAAAATCAAAGGGCCGTCCACGGGAAAGCGATACCTTCGTGCCCTATTTTGTAACGGCTTTC